AAAGTAACAATGTTCTTGGAAGGAAGCAACAATATTTTGGGAGGGGGATAACTGTTTTGTGTGGAAGTAACTACAGTTACGGTTGAATTACAGGTACCCCATCTCACCTTCCTTCTTGCTCCTTGGTTTTCTTCCTCTTCAAACATAAAAGCCTTCCTTTTTCGGATTTTATTCCTCAAAGAATTCTCTTCTACCTTAGATGGTGTAGCATTCTGGGTCTCGATGGGATAAGCAGTTCTTAAATGAGGTGGACACAATGTGTTCCTGCGCTGCATTTCTGACACTCTATCCCAATCAAAATGTTCAGGTTCGTCCTCGCAGCCTCCCATGTACACAAAACCAGCTCTCCCTGTAAGATACAAACATCTTAAGGTGAATGGTGGTAGTAGTATACCAAATTAATTTCAACTTAAAAATGCATCTCCTGGTACTGACAGATACATTGTCAAATTTAGTTTAATTTTATGAAAAATAAAGCCATTGAAAACATCATAGTTTCCTTTTTTCTTGTACTTTTATGACAAATAAAAAAATCACAGTTTATACAACAAACTGTATTCTCCTATTTGTACAAGCACATGTTCAAACTGAAAGATAATTAACTTAATTTGTGTAAGTCTATTAAAAAAATGCTGCAGTTGACGATCTTGGATTGGATCGCAACAGAAATGTATTGTTTATTGATAGAACACAATAGTCAGTGTATTAAGTTTGAACCTATTTGGACAGAGATATAAACACAATTGTGCAAATTGATTTTTATGCTATATTGGAGTCAAATTGAGAAATAGAAATCAAAAGCATACTTTTTGTATACCACAATTTATATACAATGTATAAAGTTTACAAAGAAAAAATGTGTCAATGAGCCCAAGAGATAATGTGTCAATGAGCCATAGAGAAAATGTGTCAATGAGCCCGAGAAAATGTGACAATGAGCCCACGAGAAACTGTGTCAATAAGCCCCAGAGAAAATGTGATAAAACACAATTTAAGCGAGTAAGCAAAACTGTTCTGATCAACCATTCTGACAATTGCTGACTTGAAATTCAAGTTGCAGACTAAACTATCTTGCATCAGAATTTCTATACCCATCCCAACATTACATGAAATTAAAATTGTTTTGAACTCCACAACCGCGCAGAAAAGAGAAACAATTTTATATACTTTTGTACATGCTAATTTAAATACCTCTTCAGCAAGAAAAAGGGGTTTAACGTCACCCATCACCCCCACCCCTTAGATACATGGTCTTACCTGTAGTTTGTTTATCAGTGGTATCCAATGTACAATTCAGACTGGCAAGACTGGAATCCAACTTGGGAATAACGTGATTTCCAAATTCAAAACTTGCATCCTTGTCTGACATAATACTTGCGTCATGTTTCAAAGATGTCTTGCTCATCATGGTTATATCAAACATTGTAGAGTCTGATTGAAAAACACATCAATACAAGTTGATTAAGTTAGAACACTTAATAGTTTTGTTAGCATACACATAACAAATATTGCATTACAAGATGACAGGAGACGGGCCATAAATGCAATTTGCAAGAGTGTACATGATTTTTTTTTTTCTTTCAATAAGTTACTTTCTTTATGATAACTATAAATTAAGAAAACATGACAATGCATTTGCATGGAGTTTATGAAATACTGATATATCTAAACAGTGAAAGATGGCAAATTCCAATTCTGATGAAAAATAGTATGCTAATTAGTATGCAAAAGTTATGCACATTAGCCATAACACTCCTATTTTTTTTTCCTGGGAAGAACACTGCAATATACTCAATTTCACTCAATGCCACACCTAAAACCTCAGCATCAGAAAACTGAACACATTCTCACCTCTTCTTGAATCAATGCTCGTCAGTGATTCCCGACTATTGAACTTGCTGGTTTCTAAGTTTGAAAGTTTCGATTTTCTGGACATCTGTGATATTTCTAAATCTGACAAACGGAATGTCTGATCTTGCCAATCTATGCTGTCATGTTGAATATCGTCTGACATCGCACCATCAGAGCTCTCCGTTTCAGTTTTGGTGCGAGGCACTGCAAACTTATGCGAGGTTGGTGCGCCATTTGCTTTTCTTGACTGGATTTCCCTCTCAGCGTGACTCAACTGACAAAAAAAAAATATTAATTTAGTTCAAAATATTACTTCTGACAAATTGAATACAAATAAACATTTCACCAAGATAAATTTAAATTGTACCTGGACTTCTGAGGAACGCAGACGTTGCTGTAATGTAATATTCTTTCTCTGCTCTTCCAAAAACTTCTGTGTTAAAGTCTTTATTTCTAGGTTGGTAGTTTTCTGAGTTTCTCGAAAGATTTCACACTGTGCAGGAAAGACAGAGGTACTATGAAAATGATTGTTTTTTCAAGGGCACAAATTAAAAGGATAGAAATGAAAATTATTTTTTCAATTTGTCCACGATTAATATACAATTAATATTTTGGGTTGATTCAATAAATATTGATTTTTTTTTGTCCGAAGAAAATAATTTAATATCTGTAGGTTTAGCAAGAATTACACTCAAAAACCAGAGTGTCGTCCCGCTCGAGTTTTGTAGAAAGCTTTATACACAATGATTCAGCTAAATATAGTACAATTAATTTACCTGCAATGCATGATAGATGATGAATAAATGAACATTTTCGTAAAATGTACAAAAATAACCAACATAATGAACACTGTTTTACTGTTTTGGAGGAAGAATGTATAAAATAGGATGAAACGGTCAAAATATTATAATTTTCAGCCAGTTCAGCTTTTACGTTCTCATCAAGATCTGATGCTATAGATTTATTAGAGTCTGTAATTTAATGGTGATAGTAGACCTGAATTTGTGGATTCTTCCATTGGATTCACTTGACGTGTTTTGCATTACTACGAAATACATGCCAATCTTTGTGAATCCATGAGTATTGGAACACTATTCAAACACATTAGCAAATAAAACAATAAAATAGAAAGCTGAGCAATTTCCAACATTCATTAGAAAATGAACACTTTATACTTATTTTCCCTGCAAATGCCATGAATTTTGAAGATGAAATATTTCATATAATAATAATAGTCACTCAAATAAAACTTTAGCAACGATTATTAGTTATTCCATTGTTCAAATATAACATTTCAATCTCGGATGAAATAACTTTCTGCGCATTTCTTACCTCATTCTGTAAGCTTTGAAGCCGAGTTGACAGATTAAGTCTCTCGCATTCATACCGTTTCAATCTACCATCAGTCTCCGCACAGTGACTTTCATGGCTTGTCCGTAGAGTGGTGTACTGATTCACCATTTTCTGTAGCTTGGCTTTATAGAGATCACCACGACTTTCGCTCTCACGCAACTTTTTTTCAGATTCAGTTTTAAAGCTATTAAAGCGTTCCATCTCTGAATTTGCCCGATGGATTTTGTGTTTCAAGTCTTCATTTTCTTTTTCAGTAGAAGAGACTCTTTCATTGTACTTCATTTTCAGATTTTCAATCTGAGAATCTTTTTGGGCAATCACCTTGGCACATTTCAGATCAAATTCAGTTTGCAAATTAATGATTTCATCCTCTTTCTGCTTAAAAAAATCATCCATTTTACAACGAAGATCCATATCCTGTTTTTGTCTCATATCATCCAGACTACTTTGAAGTTTATCAATTTTCCCTCTGAGACCAGACTTCTCTAAAATATATCCTTCCCTTGACTTTTCCATTTCTACAATTTGCTTGTTCTTTTCAAGAAGATCTTTTTCATACTTCTCTTTTTCCTGCTGAGCCGTTTCCATTATCTCTTGTTGCTGTTGTGATATGTCGCGTAGTCTGCTATGGAATTCCTTCGTCAAACTGCGTTTATTTTGAGTCTCTATATCATAATCTTTCTGTAAGCCAGTCATTTGTGTTCTTAAATCAGTAAGTTGTTTCTCATATCCCACATTCATGGCAGACATCTCATTCAGCTTTTGCTCTTTCTCAGTAGCAGACTGCTTTTCCAGCTCCA